CAAAGCAAAGGTCTCCAAGAAAACAAAGTTTTTAGACAAGTTCTTGTGTATGAAAGGAGCTGTGGTGCTTAGGCAGGAGTGTTTCATCCTATTGCTGTCCTGCAGAAGGAAACTGAAGCCCCCACCATTTGGTAGTTTGAAGAGGAGAGGAGCCACAGCGTGCTGGATGATAAGCACATGATTGCTAGCCATGGAGGGCACGCTTGCTCAGCCACTGGTCTTCCAGATGCTTTACAAGCAGTTGAAAATTTTGTGGGAGAGAGCAAAGTCAAGGTGGGGCATTACACATCATCAAGAGATGCAGGATTCAGGGAGCGGAAGGTAACATAGAGGCAAAACATGAGTGTGTAACCATGAGGGAGATAGACAGGCTGAAAAATGTGTAGGAACGCAGGCTTCTTCGCTTGCTTTACACAAACTGTTCATCACAGCTCTGTGGTGAGTGCAGGGGAGCCCGAGTGTGACTAACGGCAGGCAGGGACTTTGGTTAGGAGGGCAGAGCAGCGACTCAGTGCACTGGGATGACTCATGCTGACCTTCCCCTGCCTGACTGCCGCCCACCTCTCTCCCACAGACCTCTTCAAGCCGCCGTTCATCCAAGATCTCTCCTTGATGCATTGTTTTCCTTCTCAGGCTCTTGAGCTTGTCTTTTTTAAGCACTGATACTCCAACATCATTTGCACCTTGTAGGCAGCACGTCGCAGGGGAGCCCTACCTGACCAGCTCCTGCTTCTTGCTGAAGGAGCCAGCGGGACACCAACTTCTGGTCCTGCTGCAACCACATTTTCAAGTCAAACTATGGTCTGAGTATAGTCTACAGGCAATATGTTTTTCTGACTTCTGTGGCAAAATGAATAAGCAAATAGTTCAGATGCAATTGTCGCAGTCTTCTCCATAGCAGCCTTATTCCTTAGATGAAAGGAGCCTTGCTGTAACCACGCTGTATCTGCAAGGCACTGAATCAACATTTCCATTCCATGTAACAATGCACAGTCATGGATACATATAAACATTGAAAGAAGAGGCCCATTTAGGTTACAGCAGAATATATGCGTTTGGGTAGTATTTAAGTATCGTTGCAAAGTGAATCTCAGGGAATGAACACCAGTGTGACAGAAGAGATGAAAAACATTGAGTACCTGAACAAGCTTTTGTGCCACCTGGTCCTGCATTGATGTATATGGATGTGTAATTTTGTTTATTGAGAATACTATTTACCTAATACTTAATTTTGATTATGAAAATGATAGAAAATACTTCCTCTAAGAATTCTGCGTACCTCTTGTCTGCACAAAGTATATATTCATTATATAAGTATTATGTTGCTTGTTACTGAAGACTGTCATTACAATACTTTCAGTTTCTCCTACATTCCCAACTTTCAAAAGAATACTGATAGCCAAGCCCCAAATATAAACCATACTTTATCACTTCAATAATGGAACAAAGCATTGTCCTTCCCTGGACCGCATTCCTATACATCCTACTCCCTCTAACTGCCTGCAGCAACAGTGTGTGTGGTTATGTCTATGTGTGAGTATATACCTACACTTAAAAATTGTCCTTGAATGTGTACTCCCTTCATGGCCTTCGCAGACACAACCAGCACAGATACCAAGTAGCGCCTGTTCTGGCAGTACATTTGATGACATAGAGTTCTGTTATCCACCGTCTCAGAATGTAAAAGTTGCTTGGGGAAGACTACAAAATGGCAGCACTGGAAAATCCTTCAGATGAAAATGAAAGACTGATTTTGCTGGAGAATTCTGAATGTATTTCACAACACACGCACGATGGAGAAATCCTGCTCCTTTAAGGAAGCAACATGGGCAAAATGTCAAACAACTCAGCCCCACTGAATTGCAGGTAATGGTAGTACAATGCTTTTCCAAGGACAAACATGAGTTTTGTAGGTGATATGGTGGTGGAATAAGGAAACCTGTGAATTAGGGTTGCAGGTCTGCAATGCATTTCATGGAGATGGAACCAGGGAGGCTGGTAGAACTCTGTGCAGAGGTGGATCTCCGTCTCTTCAAAATTACAGCCCAAGTCCCTGAGGGAGGGATTTATCTGACCTGGTTTATCTATTTAAAAGAAATAGGTATTTAGTCCAACTGAGTCAGCAGAATGCCTTTGGTTATTCACAGAGAGTAAAACTGTTATTGATGCCGACCTGCAACTGGACTGAACTGGAAGTAATTTGAGATGGAAACTCTTCATTTGCTGCTGGGACAGCCCATACTTAGTTTTCAGGCAACTACTGT